ATAGGGGCGCCTGGGTGGCTCAGTGGGTTAAAACCTCTGCCTTCGATTCGGCTCAGGTCATGATTCCAGTGTCCTGGGACTGAGCCCCTCATCGGGCTCTCTGCTTAGCAGGAGTCTGCTCTCTCTGAGCTCTCTCTGCCTACTTGTGATCTCTGTCTGTCAAATAAATAAATATAATCTTTAAAAAAAAAGAAAGAGTAGATAATATATGATTCCACATTCTCATAGAAGACTGGTGCAGTCTAGAAGCTGGGCAGATGAGTTTCAATCCCCACTTTGCCATTTAACAGCTGAATAGACTTTGGAGGATCACTCACTCACGCTCTGATTCTCAGCTCCCACCCCCCTTGTCAAATGGGGATAATTATGCCTATAGTTAGTTAATCGCCCAGTATCTCAGTTTACCTATCTGTTAAAGGGGATAATGATTTAAATTTGTAAAGTACTTCAGAATAATTCCTGGCACAAATTAAGTGCTTCAAAGTTATTTAACAAATATTTAATGAGAACTGAGAAAGGCCAGACTGATTTTGAGGATTACTGTGAACAGATGCTGTCCTCGCTCCTATGAGGCTCAGTCTAGCTGGGAGAAAATAAAATCCCCAGGGTAGAAATGTTTCCAAGGAGAAATACTGTGTACAAGGAGGGTCAGGCCATGGGCTACACTGAGAGCTTCCCTGAGGAAGTGACATTAGTTAATACCTGGACTTGTTATTGGGAGGGCTTTGGGGCTTTTTTCCAACTAGCTCTGGTCTTTTCCTGCTTGGTTCTGTTTGGGGTTTCCTGGTGTTGGGGAGCAAGTTCCTGGGGCTGCTTGATACTCGGAGGCAATAGGAAAGGAAGGTGTTGGGGTGGCTAACAGGCCTGTTCTGATCTACTAAAGGCAGGCCCGAAGGCGGGGAACGCAGGGCTCCAGACACAAGCACTTATGGGACTGTCTACCAGGCCAGCAGGCTAACTTCCCGGACTAGGGGCCCAGTGCGAGGGAGGAGGGGGACCCAGGAAAGAAAAATGCCATACTCAGCTTCGTCCACGGGGTGGAGTATTTTAGCCGAAGAAGGGACCTTTGGAGGCCGCGCAGTCCCAGTTGCAGGACTTGTCTAGAGTGGCGCCCATCCAACCCTCCTCCCGCAGGTGCGTCACCAAACTTCTCAAACCTGTGGGCTATGCCAAGGCCTATCCTGGTAAAAGGAAATCCTCTACAGACATTAACAAATTTAAACATTTCAGAGTCAGTAAGGGGCCAAAGGAGACTAGTGAGCCTGGCCCTTGTCCCCGCAAGTGAGCACTGTGAAGGCCAGGAGGTGAGTGACGAGTGTTGACCACGGTCGGTCCCACAGCCAGGGCTGCATCAGACCAGCTCAGAGCTCAGGTCCCTCAGCTGCCTGTCGCAGCCCTCTCACTGAGCGGCCTCTGGGTCCTTCGGACCGCGTCCCTGCCCTGCAGACCTCCCAGCGCAGCTGTGAACCAATCCGGAATTTCTCCTGGGAGGTACAATCTGAGCAAGAAGACGGACGCGGCGAGGAGGAAGGACCGGGGGGGACACAGCTCTCTCGTGGTGGAGCCCCTAGGTCTCCAGCGTGGAGGCTCACACCTCTTCTCCCCGCGACTCGTTTTCCTCAACAACCTGCTCCCTACCATGCCTCCTGCAGACGCCTGCCTCAACCATCCTTCCAAACCCTCAGCCACTTAGCCACGTTCACAGGGTCTCCCTTGTTCCCAGTCGTTTCTCAGAGCACGTGCCTCTACTTGGCGTTACGACTCGCACACGTGCACACATAACCCACGGTTACATTTGGCGTTTTTGATTATGGCCTGTCTCCCTTTGAGGATGTAAACTCAAATGAGTTCAGATTAGCAACTAATCCCCAGTACCCAGAAGAGTGTCTGGTGCATAGAAGATGCCCAATAAAAGTACAATTAACAAATAAAGGAAAGACTGTGGCTTCAAGTCCTGATTGATCTGTAAAATGAATTATTGTAAAGATAAAATTAAATTAATAAAAATTAAATGAAACATGCATAATCATTCTGCCACCTATGAAGAATTAAAAAAAAATGAAAGGGGTTAGGTTAGATTAAAGGACTGTGTGTAGTTCCCACTCACAGAGTGGAGGACTGGAAATTGGTAGCAAAAAGAAGGGGACTACGTTTCGACAATAATCAGCATCTATTTATATTGATTTGTTTATTTTGTTCTTGTTCAAACAAAACAAAGCAAAAATACCTGCTGTAGGTACATAAGGATACGTACCCTTCAGCACAATCCCCAAAAACTAAGAGTGTGTGCTTGATACACTGACTGGGACAGCAGCTAAAACCAGAATGAAACAGCTGATCTGGTAGATATAAGGTTGATTCAGAAATGTCAGAAACATTCCCTGGTTACCAAATGAATTAATTAGAGCTGGTGAGCAAGAAAGCAAAGGAAAAAATAATTAGAAAATAAAAGCAGCCAGAGAAATGGCGGTTACCTAAACAGTAGACTGTGGAGGATGAGAAGCCTGATTTCTACAGAATGTGTCCTCAGGGCTGGGCTATGAGGCCCCCAGAGGAGTCCAGGATCTGGGGACAGGAACTTTCCACAATGGAGCTTTTTTCTGTTAATACATAGTTGATCAGAAGCCAGAGAAGGCTTAACTAAATTTTATAAATTTCTTTCTTTTGGGGGGGGCCTGGGTGGCTCGGTGGGTTAAAGCCTCTGCCTTCAGCTCAGGTCATAATCCCAGGGTCCTGGGATTGAGCTCCACACCTGCTTCCCCCCCCCTGCCTGCCTCTCTGCCTACTTGTGATCTCTGTCAAATAAATAAATAAAATCTAAAAAAAAATATTTAAAAGAATTTCTTTCTTTCTCTTGATACTTTTCATCAGTTTCAAGTCAGGAAATTCAAAGACTCTGACTTTAAATATTTCCCAGTTTTTCAGTAAAATTAAAAAAAAACCTCACATATTAAGAAAAGTGGGGCACATTCTAAATAAAGGTAACCCCACGAGATTGAGACAATGGGAACAGTTTTGGGAAACCGACCTTGAAAAGACAACACATACATTGTTTCACTCAGAAATCTTGTTCCCCTTAAATTCTCTAAAGAAAGCAGAGATCTCTCATGCTTGCCAATGACCTGGAAAGTTAACTATGCCTTAGAATGGCTATTTTTGGCTCCATCTTTAAAAGCATACAGAATTCACCATTAGAAAGAACTAACAGCTTTCATGGTTTCAGTGATGGGGGTTCTCCAAGGTCCTGGCTTCCAGGGCATGAAGTGTCCTGACTGACAGCTCCTTGTCACCCTGCCTCTCAGCATAAGGCCCTCCAGATGCAGTGGAGGGGTCTGGTCTCCCTCAACTAGGATGACAAACTTCTCTTTTCCTTCAATCCTCTGTAAATGTTATGCATGGAAGAGTCCTCACTCTTCCCAAAGCTGGTTTTCCAGCCCAAGAAAGACAAAAATTTGGTCCAAATTATAAGAGCCATTGACCACTCTAAAGAGTGGAAAGACATGCCTGGCCTGTTGTTTAACCAGAAGTGATGGTTGAGGAGCCACTTAAGAAAGGGGGTATTTGCAGGGTATTGCCCGGAACTGGAGGTAAGGCAGCGAGGAGCACCAGATTCCTGAGTCCTCATGTTGGCAGTTAATAAGGCAATCTCAGACAAGTTGCTGATCTCTGAATCTCAGTTAGCTCACCTGTGAAACGAACACTAATCACTTCTGCCCCAACTGTCTGCTAGATTCAAGGAGAAAATGGATAAGAAAGGATTCACAAACCATTATTATTAGAAATTGACAAGTATTATAATAACCCATGTTCTACCATCTCCAGCAAGAATAAAGTTAGGTATGATAGCTACCATATTTGTGCACTTGATTTTTATAATAATGCTTTTCCATCTGTATGTTCCAAACCTTGCAATAGAGTGTTATTTGACAAGGGGGGCGTTGAGAACCAGAGAGAACGAGTGACCCCCTCCAAAGTGCATTCAATCATTAAAAGGCAGATGGGGACTGGAACTCTCTGTCCCACTTCTAGGCTTTGTGTACAAATCTGTCCTTAATGAAGAAGAAAGGGGCAAAAATGTTACATTAGGGGTTAAGGTAAAAAAAAATATGACAGAGGTGGTAGCAAAAAAAATCTAAGATGGTTTCTGAGGAAGACCGTTGAATTTTTATTTTATTTAAAATATTTTAAAATAGATTTTAATATTTTATTTATTTATTTTAGAGAGAGTGCATGAGCAGGGGGAGGGGCAGAGGGAGAGGGAGAAAGAATCTCAAGCAGACTCTCCGCTGAGCACAGAGCTGGACACGGGGCTCAATCCCACGAACCCCGACATCACAGCCTAAGCCAAAATCAAGAGGAACTGTGGCCCCCGGTGGGCTAGCAGGCTGGGTGTCCCTATATTGCTTGCCTAGTGCCTGGCAGAGCCATGTCAGCATGCATGGCACAGCGGCCAGCCAGGGCCAAGTTCCCAAGAAGAGAGGATGGGAGGCAGGGAAAGGCAGGTGCAGAATGTGAAGCTCACCTCGGGGCTGCACTTGGCTCCCGTGTGAGCAGTGTTAGGGGACAAGTAGCCTGCTAGGAGGGGACAGGATGAATACTCTCCCCATAGTAGTTGAAAAAATCCGAGGTCTGTGTGGCCCTGTGTATGTGCAAACATCCTCATTGACTTGTCCCACTACTGTCCCATCTTTCTCCCCTCTTATCGTCTCTCCCTCCTTCTTGAGTCTCTTTCTCTTCCTTGACCTTGCTGGCCTCCTTATGTCTGGTGCACACGTTCTCTTCTTTCCCTCCTGCCTCCTCCCTTCCTACCCCTCTGACAGACTGTATCAGCGAATCCCTCAACAGAGGCATATCTAACTTTTTTATTCATTGCATGATTTATTTTTAGCCTGAAACAACTGCATCCTAAAAATGGAGTTCCTGATGAGGCAGGGGCTGGGCCGAGCTATGCGAGGTATCTGGGGCTTGGCTGCTCAGCCTGGCCCTCAGTCTCTGCACGCGTGTGTCCTGAGCCCAAGAGTACTGCTTGTTGGAGCCCAGGAGGTGGGGAGTTGGTCCTTGGGCCCAGGAGGGACAGAGGGGAGGGACCGAATCCACTTCTCTGCTCCCCACTTCTCTCAGCCAGTCCTCTGGAGTCTTCCGGCCACTTTCCCGCACTCAGGCTTCCTGGGAAAGTGAAAAGAAACTTCTCCCAGATGGAGAGAGTGCACCTGTTCATCGTGGGGGTCTACCTGCTGTCCTCCTGCCGGGCAGAAGAGGGGCTCAACTTCCCCACGTATGACGGCAAGGACCGCGTGGTCAGTCTCACGGAGAAGAACTTCAAGCAGGTTTTGAAGAAATACGATGTGCTCTGCCTCTACTACCATGAGGCAGTGTCCTCAGACAAAGTCGCACAGAAACAGTTCCAACTGAAAGAAATTGTGCTCGAGGTAAGCTGGGGACCTGCTCACCGTATTGTCCCAGGGAGCACGGGCTGGCCAGCGGCTGGGAGGTGGGAACACCAGTGTGGAGACTCTGTCCTGAAGTCCAGCTGCATTTTAGTCTGGTTTGAATCTGAAGATATCCTTGTTGCAAAGCTGGGCTGTGGGAAGAGCAAAGTGTGGGTCCCGGCTCCTAAAATGGGGGCAGGCAGATGTGTTGCATGACACATAGTTCTGATTTAAACTCTGTCACCTGATGGTCCTCTTGACTTTTCAAGGGTAATAGTCAATGTTAAATCTATCATTGAAAAGCCTGGCTGAAATGCAATTCAGATATGATCTGTGCGTTCCATTTGGTATGCTAACTCCCCCCTCTCTGTTCCCTGAAGTTTCCCCATGATCCTGGAGAGACAGGAGGCATTTGACCTTGCTTCTCCACATGGGTCAGATGGGGAATATCACAAAGTGGTCTTTGCCTCTTGGGGTTTGGGTCCAGTCAACATTGCACAGTGTGCATATGCGGAGATCTCTAGTTACACGTTCATTAGCAGGATTTTTTTTTTTTTTCAGAAAGTTATTGGTGTGTGTTCAGGGCAGATGCTGAAGTCAGTTCTTATTTTATCTGTATTACATGGCCAGTTTGTAAGCCTGGCACGGGGGTGCATTCTCTAATCCTTGGTGATTGGTCCAGGACCGATTCCCACAACGCCTCCTGGACAGTGTAAGGTTGCTTACACTTCAGGAGCACCTGTGAATGCCAGGAATTCTAGTAGTCACCAAGATCCCTTCTTAGCCCCATGCCCAGCCGAGGCACAAACCTGGGGACAGAGCTATTTGAGAATTATAGCAGCTTATTAACTAGCATATCAGAAAGCTCAACTGAATCAAATATTTTGATTAACAAAGTTATCATATATCAAACACATGTAGATTTGAATCCCTCCAAATAGATACCAATAAATTCCACGAAAATCATCTCAAATATCATAAAATATAATTTAAAAAGTACTTGAGAATCCTAAGTGTCTCTTGATCATACAACACCCATTTTCAGAGCTCTTCTGTATGGTGGCGTGATTATTACAGAGAGCTTGGGTTGACAAAAAGCTAAGCATTTTCAAAACATCACAACTACCACCATATTTTTCCTCAGGCTTATCCTGGGGGCTGGAAGTGGAAATTCAGTTCCCTCTGTGGGTTGCAAGCAAAGAGAAAGCAGGGACAGTTTTTAGATCTTTGTACTATATATGGGAACATCAGAGGCTGGAAGAAACCAGGACATACAGCATAGCTGCTGCTTAGCCCCTGAAATACTCACATCGTCATCTCTGTTTCAAATGGCCCTACTCAGTTATCAAGAGACACTTTTCTGAAGAAGTTCTTTGAAGACATAAGGATTCTACCCCACATGCTTGTCACTGTCTGATAGCCTGTAACTCAGAAAGAATGCCAATACGAGTAACGATCTCCCATTTCTGATTCCCTGGCTTATTAAAACACATGCGCACACACACACACACATACACTTGGACGCACATACACACACACTCCCTCAAGAACGTATCTCCCCCAAAGACCTAGGGCCACGTAGACCTGAGAAAGGACTTTCCCCTGGGCTCACCATCCCTTCAGACACCTTTGATCCAAGAGTGCCTGGCAGAGACCCATGGGACTTAGGCGATGTCCCACAGGCTGCTGAAGCTGAGGTGGGAATCATTAGGGGGAAAAGGACATAGAACATGGAGTCAGGAGATCTAGATTTATATTTTGGCTTTGCTTTTCCTGGGCACATGATATAGGGCAGGGACTTGATTTCTCTGAGTCTCTTTTTCTTATCTATAAATATGGGAAAAACAATCATTATACCTATGTAAGAAATAATTAAATAACAATAATATTTATTGGATGCTCACTGTGTACAGAGACTGTTCTAAGCACTTTGTATATGTTAACATGTTGAATCCTTACAGTATTTCTATGACATTGGCATAGTTCTTATCCCCATTTTACAGAAGGGGACACTGAGGCTCAGAGAGGGTAAGTTGCCCAGGGTCATTCAATCAATGCAGGTGAAGGTGGTCTTAGCCCCTGCATTGCACTGCTGCTGTAACCAAACAAGATGATGTTTAGTTAGCTGCTAGATACCCTGTTGAGGATCCTTTCTAGTCTGCCTTAAATAGAGTTGCTCCGCCCATGGGCCTGGGCCTGGAGAGGCCAGCTGTATCAGCAACAGGGTTGAGAAGCACAGAGCAACCTCCCCCCATCCCAAAACAGGATACCAGTCACGTAGCTGTCCCAACCAAGGAGGAGCCCCTGCTTTCTTAGTGATGACCGGAGAGGGGAAGGGGATTTGCTGGGGTACCTGTCAAGTGCAGACTCTTTCTCAGAGTCCAGGACAAAAATGGTTCTGGGAATACTATGGGTAGAAAGAAAGGGATGTAAGCCTCTATCTTTCCCTCCTCATCAAAACAGTTATTTTGTCCTTTTAATTCCCTGGCCCCCCCAAGCTGCATTAAGGGAAATCCTCTGCCAGTTCCAGGGCTGTGGCTGCTGGGGGCTAAGAGAAGAGGAGGCAGCTCCCAGCGAATGTCCACAGGAATGAGATCTCAGGCAGGGGCAGACAGGGCAGGAACAGTGGGCTCCTTTCCTCCAACTTGTTCAGGGAGGTGGCTTCCGACATTTCTTTCGTAACTCACTATGACCTAGTGCTTGTGGACACATGCATGCATACACACACAGGAAACACAGATTTCAAGGGACAATTACTGTTTGGGGAATACTTGGATTTTTAACAAAATTCTTTTTCTTCTATTTCATTCTGTTCTGTTCTTGTCATTTTGAATCTTTTTCAATTAAAAAATATTGATTCCAACCCATTAAACCGATTTCATTCCACAATGATGAGCTGTCACTCCCCTCCCCGCCCCCCCCACCGCCAGCTGAAACACCTAAGAGAATTTTAGGGATTAGGAGCTCATAACTTGTCATGTAAGGGCTGCCCCGTTCTGACAAAAACCTAAAGGAGCTAACCATAGCTCCTGACCCTCGAAAGGATTTTGCCTGCCACTCTAAGGGATGACCATGAAAAGACCCAGGAACAGCCCTGTCTGCAGGGTGAGGAGGCACTCCCCGACTTGGGGTCTTGAAATGCTGATCAGTCACACATACCTCTGTCACTTGCAGGTTGGGGTTTGGGTGGGGGAGAGATACTGTGGATACAGGAAAAGGAGACACTTGGGTGCCTCATGGCCCATTATGGAAGAAGGGCAAACAAAAGCTACAGTGCAAGGGGCTCATTGTAATAATAGAGAGGCTTATAAGGTTCTCTGAGAGCACAAACAAGAGCCCCACTCTCTGGAGAGAAGTGGAAGGCATGACAAGGAAGAACTGGTTTGTTACAATGAGTGGAATTTACCAGGCAAGAAGCAAGGACTGGGGAAGGAACTGCATGAGGAAGGATTCTGACAACACTCAAGTATCTCCCCACCAAATTTTCCTAGAATTTGACCGTGATGGCCTCATTCTTTTAGGGTAGGGTTTTTGTTCCTACTTGGTTAAAGCCCTGTGGGCAGGTCCTTTAAAATATTGCCAATCACTTGTACCTGCGTCTGACCAAATTTGAGTTCTGAGTGAGAATAAGGTTTGATAAAGGGAAGGGGAGTAGGGAAAGAATGTAAGGTCACTAAATGCTTAGGCAGAAAAAGTGCAAATAAAATGATACCAGGAGGCACCAAGTTCAAACTGCTGTCCAGTTTGGCTGGGTCTGGGTCTGGAAGGCACCAGGGGTGGTATGGTCTGGCTCTGGAAGGCACCAGGAGTGGTGCGGGGTACATGGTTCAGTAGAGGTGTTCTGTAGAGGCTTGCTGAATGAATGACACATCTGATGAAACGTTGTCTTTGAGAACCATCTAGATTGCTCTGAACCCTTTACTTCAGAGCTGTGGCTTTGTAGTGATGGGACTCAGCCAGCTGGTAATCCCGATTCCTGATTGGGCATTTCATCCACAAAGAGCACATACTCACTTAGAAATGTCAGAATACATGGAAAAGAAAAACAAAGACAAAAATAATAGCCACCCAGAAAGAAACAGTTCACGTACTGAGAGATTTCTCTCCCATATTTTCTGTCTATATGCAAACATATATTTTTCAGTTGTTTTGTATTACTTATACAATTTTGTTTCCTGCTTTTTTCATTTCAGTATATTGTGAGCATTCCTCTGTCATCATAGAGTGTTATATTCTTGGCAAACGTAATGTTAATGCTGGCCTGGCATTCCATTGTATGACCATGCATATTTTTAAGATAAGTGGCCTATTTTGGGATGTTGACACAATTTTCAGAGTTTTAAAAATCTTTGTTTAGATTTTCATTGTACAGTTTCATCAGAAATTCTTTGATTTTTTTTTTAGCTAAATGGAATTTTCACATAAAATTACCTGCCATTTACATTTTTTTCTCCCATGAATTAATTTTCTGACTTTCCCCCAGTTTTCTGTTGAGGTGTCAACACCATTTAGTTGCAATTTTATACACTGTTTCTTTCAGTTTCAGCCAAGACAGTAAACGGAGTTACGCTGTAGAGACCAGATTCTATTAGCATCATAGAACTCAGACCCAAGAGGAGGATCTGCCCAATGATTCCAATTCTTCCCTGCTCTTTTGTTTCTTGCTTTGACTTCCCCCTTGAAATTGCAATGCAAGCCATTGCTGCTATCATGTGTTCCACAAACGTTGCCAGAGAAAGTCCTCCAATGTCACCGACCTCTCTTGGGTTAGAATGCTTGAGAGGTGGTGTGCTTTAAAACATGGACTTTCGAATCAGATAGATTCGAGTCCAGTTCCCAAGGAGGAAGTCTGTCTGTGGTCAGGCCCCTTGTTTTGTAAAGTGGAGAGAGTGGTGGTGTGACGATGAGTTCGTCTGGCAAGCGCGTGGTTCAGGCACACGGAAGGTACTTCAACAAATATTGTCAACTTGCAGCCCGTGCTCCCCTTTCCAGTCTTCATT